TGGTTCCAAATCAGAGCTGTGAATTATGATTTATTATAGCTTAACCTTTTGCTGCCAGCTATAACTATCTTTACCCAATCTTCAGTTTGATTGAAAAGTAGAGCTTAAATCAAAGGATGATCTGCAGTATAGTCAAGGATCACAGAGATGTTAATGCTTATTATGATCCTACCAAACAAGAAAAAAAGTTATAATCCTCTATCTGAGAAACCTCATTATAATATAGAAATCATAAGAGCCCAATGGAGGGGGAAACAGGTTACTTTTTGGACTATCTTTCCTAAAAGCTTTCAGTCGTCCTGGTTAATGACATTGTTGTCTGATGGATACTGGTTGTTGTAGGCTAAGAAATTAACTTTTTCAAGTTTGTGGAGGAAAGAGAACCAGCTGTTTAAAGGCCCGTCTGCTAGTTCCTATGGAAAATCTAATAGACCAGCTAACCAAGGGGAAAGTTGATCATTCTAGTCAGTAGTAGGAAGGGCCACAGGGTAAACTTTTAGTAATGGAAAATGTAAACATATGGTCCATTATTTAGCACAGATCTAAGCACTTTGAATCCCTGTGTTGGAAACATGCTTTGGATTGTGGCCATAACATAAAGGAGCAGAACAAAAGGTGAGGCACAGCCTCAAAGTAGTAATTTATTGCTACATGTAATCTATTATGCAGGGCAAAGGGTCATTGTATCTTTCATAGTACACTAGTTAGTTCACCCAAAGAAGGAATGAAAAAAGATTCCTATTGAAATATGTTGGACAATTTCCTTGTAATGATAAAATACTACTGTTCAGCAGGGCCTGCCCCTCCTTTTGTTCTCTTTAGATCTGATGCAACTATTCTTTTCTCAATGTAAAAAATAAGTCCTACCAAGCAAGGAAGGGCTCCGGGAGCCTGGAATAATTCATGCCTTTTCTCTCATTTTAGAATTTGTAAAGCGTTCTGTAGCAAATACGCTGGAACCATGTACAGCAAATTAAGAGAATAGAATAAAAATTACAATAAAAATGTATTAACAATACTCTGGCTGGAGTTTGTCAGGAAATGTTTTCTTAAAAAGTCATCAAAGACCAAAAGCGAGGCAGTATGCTGAGTTGGAAGAGGCTGAACATCATTATGTATCCTCCAACTGCTCTGATTTGGCTGGAAATGTCTCAGTGAATCCTGTGCCATCCCACTTATTCAGCTTTTAAAATATCCCAGTCAGGCCCATAGCCAGGATTTCGTTTCGGGGGGGGGGGGGGGAATATTCAGGGGGGTTGGGGGGGGCTGAGTGAGTCTGAGTGAAAGAGGGTCTAGCCTAGCAAACCTTTTGTATCATTACCCCAATACCCCATGCATATGGGATATATTGAGTATGGTGATCAGATCATGATATGAATAAACATAACAGTTTAAATAATGTACCAGTAAGGCCTTTTCGCGAACCACCATGAGAATTTCGGGGGGGGGGGGGGCTGAAGTTACTTTCAGTTAGTGCATACTGAAACCAGAGTGCAAAAATAGTTTGCCTCAATTAACTCAGTAGGATAGAAAACAGAATCTTTACTAGCTATCCCCTGCCACACGTTGCTGTGGCTCAGCCTGGTGATCTGGAAAATAAAGTAATGAGAAAGTGTTGGTGTAGAGAAGTGTTCATTATACTGTGTTTCAAACTGTGTTTAGGCTTTACATTGTGGCCAGGGCCTAGCTGAGAGAGAGAGAGGTTGCCATGGTGACAAGCCAGAGGAGGTGGGCGGAGCTTAGGTAAAAAAGGTTTGAAAGCGACAGTTTATTTTCAGTCAGGCGGATGAGACCCTGAGGAGAGGAGCAGAGTCAAGGAGGCTCTGTGGAGTAGTGTAAATTCAGTTAGTTCTTAGGTTTTGTGAATATTATTCCAGCTAGGAAGCTGAAGGTGGAAACTCGTTAGATTGCTTGAGTAGAAAAGAATCTAACAAGAAAGGGTTTCAGGGATCCCAGTGGTGAAAAATCTGGAGATCGTTGGTTTGATCCGGTGAAGGACAAACAGTTGTAAATATTCACAATAGGGAACACTGAAATAATAAAGTACCTCACTGTAGAAAGAGTTAAAGGATTGTAACATCGGAAGACTTAATGTAACTCAACCAAGCCATTTTGTATCCATCAAGCTTGTGCCAAGTTCAACAGTTTAATTTTGCAACAATTTACGCTCTGATAACAATAAACCTGTTATTTTTGTGTTTTAAACTTGCCTCCTTCACTGATTTCCACGTTTGAAGCATTCCACACTACCCAAGGTGACTCACAACACAGATAAGGATAACCAGAGATCATTTTTACCAATATCACTTATATTATGGTGGCAATTTAAGCTAGAAGTCTCAAATCTTTATTACATCTGTGTGGTGATCCTATTTATTTGGGATTTTACACCATTATTTCATTTTGGAGACTTCCTCACATATTTTGGTGGCAGCAAGTGAACGGTTTTAAATTTTTAGTAACAAGCGGTGGGAGTCACGGCTTCGCAGTTCATCTGTGAAAAGTTGGAAGGGTATGCAGAGGCGGGCCTAGGTAATTTTCAATGGTAAGCAAACAGTATCTTGGCCCCCCCCCCCCCAACCAATCACTGATATATATTTTCTGTTTGTTATGGGAGTTCTGTGTGCCATATTTGGTTCAATTCCATCATTGGTGGAGTTCAGAATGCTCTTTGATTGTAGGTGAACTATACATCCCAGTAACTACAACTCGCATATGTCAAGGTCTATTTTCCCCCAAGAGCGCCCCTGGGCAACATCAACTATACTGCAAATGCTTACTTTGCGTAATGGTTTGAGCCGCCCCTGAGAGTATTTTAATACTTAGTCATTCTCTTACTGAGCAGATATCAGGTCCATGTAGACTCAACCAGGAATAGTACTTCAGAAAACCAGATTTAGAAAAATGGGGAAAGGTACAGTATCAGCATTTGGAATTCAGCCAAAAAATAACCATGGGAATGACCCACTGACATTAGACAATCCATGGATGCTAGGCCTGTTGACAGATATTATCCATTTGAACAACATTAAACATCCATATGCTGAGTCCTTCTTTATCTCTGCTTACTGGATGACAGAGAGGTACTGCAAGCTTTCTGCCCAAGTCCCATTATAAACAGTAGCATAGTAAAATTGTATCCCACAAATAAGATAGCAAAATCAAGTTCTGCTTTTAAATTTTTTGATATTTTCAAGCCGTAATTGGTTGAATTCAGGGATAGAAACTAGGATATTTTAAAAGCCCAATAAGAAGGGCCATCTGTATTTGAAAAACACACTCAACTTTCTCCATCATACCTAATGTGTTTAATCTAAAATTATAATTGCCCAAATAGATTTCAGTTAATAGTGAATTCTCCTTGTGCATTTAACTCTTGTCTAGAAAAATCTGAATCTTCTTCTATTCCATTGAAATATACTGTATATAGATATATATTTTAATTACTTAGGTTTAAACATATCAGATTACTTTGCATTCAGATTTTTGCAAGTCATATTTCCTTTCATTGCTCTTGGGTTCTCTTAAAGTTCCTTCACCCCTAAATTTCTGGCTGTGGACCTTTCTTCTGAGTCAAATGAGAGGCTCTAGGTATGGCATGGTTGGCCAGCTGTTTGTGGTGAGGGTATATTGAAGACATTGCAACATGTGTTTTATTTAGGAATAGCCAACCATTTGTCTCTCAGTGACTCAGTACTTGCCCATTTTATGCTGCCAGCTGCCACAGTCATAGGCCTAATGCCATGGTCACCTAAATATGAATAAAAACATCCAACTATCTATTCACATTTTAATTTTACTGAGGATAGAGGGAAGGGGAATTCTAGCAATGTCACAGCTCTTCCTGTGGTTACTTTTAATATATTGTGGTCATTCGTTAAACCTGACATACTCAGAAGCAACTGTTTTACAGACAACTGGAGAATCCTAATGTCGGAAACTTCATTTATCTGTTGATTATAACTCTGTTTTATTGGATTGCATTATACTACAGCTGGAATGCAAAGGAATACCTGACCAACTTCTGTGGTGGCAAGAAAGGTAGAAGGCAGAAAGAAATTGAAGTTTATCTTTAGTCACCAGGGATGCTTAAGGTCAGGGAATACTATCTAACTTATTGATATAAACAAGATTTTCCTGATTCGGTTTCCCCAGATATTGTTGGACCTGATATAATCCCTGGCAAGTGGTTAAGGATGATGAGAGTTTAGTGTCTCTCCTTCCAGAGATCCAAGTAGGAAAAACAGTTTTGCTTGATGCAGAAATTATTCTGCATGACTTGGGTCTGATAGTGGCACATAGGTTGCATTCAGAGCTGATTTCTGCTGTATATAAAGTCATATTTTCTTTCGTACACAAAGGTAAGCATGCACAGGCTTGATCCAAGCTGAGAACACCTTGTACTGGCCATTGACACTTAAAACTTCACCACCCTTTAAAAGTCATCCCATGCAGTGACTAAAAATATCACAAAAATAGTATCGTTTCAACTTTTTTGAGGTTTTAGATCCTGCATGGGGAAGAATCAAATGTAAGAAGGAAACTGTCTCAGTGAGGACAACTTTAAATAAATATACCATTCCCAAGGCCCCTGGTTAAAGTCTGCATATGCTTGTTTTGGATAAAAAAATGATTTGGAGGCTCAACAGCACGCTATAGTTTACTGTCTGCAAATCCAAGATCATTGTGTTCTTGAACCTTGTCATAGTTATAAACTTAGTGATAGAAATTTATGGGAACAGAGGATAGGTGATTGTTTTTATGCATTCGTCTTGACAGTTCTGGGTTTTCTAGACAGCTCTGAAACCAATATAAATTTTATCTCTCTCTCCACCCTGCTTCCCCCCCCCCCCCCCACTTTCTTTGTCTCATAGGAGAGAAACCGTACAAGTGTACCTGGGAGGGTTGCACCTGGAAGTTTGCTCGTTCAGATGAACTGACGAGGCACTATCGCAAACACACGGGAGTGAAGCCGTTCAAGTGTGCAGACTGTGACCGAAGCTTTTCCCGCTCAGATCATTTGGCATTGCACCGTCGGAGGCACCTGCTTGTCTGAAAAATGCTACCTTGTCCCCCTCCCCCCGAAAAAAGTACGGAAGTACCAAGAGCTGGGTCTCTTTTAACTACTTCGAATTCAGCAGGGCTGAATCCTGTTTTGATGGCATTAGCACAAAAGGGGGCGTTCCGCATTGTCCCGTACACACACAAAGAAGCAGGAAATGTAGTGCCACAATTCTCCTCCCATCTGAAGTTGGCTTTCCAGTGTGGACAAAGTGATCATCTTCAGCTGGGAGATAATAGCTTAATGCTAGAAGATCGGGCATTATTTTCTAACCCGCGTCCTTTTGAAAGTATTTATGGCTTGTACCTTTTCTCAACCATCACACTTTTTTTCTTCTCTCTCTCCTGAAGAAATATGGCTATTGCAAGGACCAGATGTCACAGCCTTTGAAAAAGAACAAGCCTCCTGGACCTCCACTTCATGTGCTGCTGCTTCTCTCAGTCTCTCTTTCTCTCTCTTTCTGTACTCTTTTCTCTCTTTTTAACTCTCAAAACACTTCAGAATATCATCATCCTAGATTATTGAGTAATCAGCAATCCACAAAAGCCAGCTATATGGACTAGAAGGATGAGGGAAGAAAATGAAGCTCTTGGAAGTGCAAGAATTTCTCAGCACACTTATGCAATAAATATGGTGGTATTTTTTACATATTTACCCCCTTCATCCTTACATTGGACTTTTGAGGCCCTTATCAAAATTTAAATTTTGCTGTTCTTAAATTCTCTTTCTTTTCTGGTATTTTTTTTCAAAGCAAAATCTGCAAAACTGGTATCAGAAACATTTCTGTGTGAAATAACTCTCTTTTTGCTTGATTTAGAATAGGAAGAGGTAATTAAAATGTTCTGTCATGGTTACATAGTAGAACAAATGTTAGAGCAGCCTTCCTCAACCTGGCATCCTTCCCAGTTGGACAACAACCTCCATCAATGTAGCCACTGGCTAAGGATAATGGGGATTGTAGTCCAACAAACTTCAAGGACAGCACACAAGGAAATGCTGTGTTATGTCCATCCTCGTTAAGCCGATGTTTCAACTGTCACTTTTTTAATTGCAAGTTAATGAATGTTCAAATGTTCATGTATGACTTGTTCTATCATCTTTTGATTACTCTGTAGTTGGTGACCGACAAGCAAATGTGTAAACTGTCTTCTTTGCAGCAGTACTGCCTCTCGGAAGAACCAATGCTATAAACCTGTCCTGTTTTTGCCTGATGGCATATTCACATCTGCAGGTCCAACAGTTAATTGTGTTGAGCATGAATGTGACCACCACCTGTTTGGCCTACTTGAGTTTATTTCCAATGTAGTTGTATTTAAGAATGCAGTATATAAGATCCATTGAAAGGGAACTACATATTTCAGTAGTGAAAAATAGGGGAGGGGATGAGTGGCTTTTGGTTTAATTCAAAAGGGTTCTGAACAATTGCTGTTTTCCAGACACAGAGTCTCATGATAAATCTTACTTGTGCTAGTGAGAATTAGTAAGAAATAAGGGTGTAGAACTCTTGTTGTTTTATTAGCCAACACAAGGCCAGTTTAGAACAGCTTTCCTGTATTTTTCATCTTTCAGGACATTTTTGCAAAAATTTCATTTGCAGAAGAAAACCTTGTATTTTGTACAAAATACAAAGGCTTATGTCGGGAAATTGGATCTTGCAAAATGCTATATATTCTTGCAGAGGAGTGTTGTTGCACAAAATACTGTGGGTTTTGCACAATGTTTTTTGCAAAAAAAATATCCCAAAATGTTAGAAATAAATGCACAATACTTTTAGTATCATATTGCGACATATCAAGACATACCTAATGGAAGATAAGAACAAAGTCCTGCTGGATGGAGGCCAGACTAGTAAGATAAATTACCAGAGTCGGTCATTCTCAAAGTGTGCAGAAAGCGACTCTTTGGAGCTGAAGAGATGTTCTGTACCCATCAAGTAGTCGTAAATTGGCAATGCCTAGTGACTGAGACAGATAAGTGAGTGGTATCCAAATAACAATTCAGACGAGTTATTTTGGCAGGTAAAGTCAAATGTCCCACACCCACTTCTTCCCTAACAGTATTAAAACGCAATAACAATAAATGTAGGACCTAACCATCCCCTTTTAATTATATCTAAACAATCTGCTGCCTGAGGTGGTCTCCTTCCATCTAAAAGTAGGGCTTCTTGCTCTGATCGAGTAAGAAGTAGCCACGTCTCCCTCCATCTATAACAGATGAAGCACACTGCATTTAAAAAACATTCAGTTTGATCCTTTCTGTTGGTTTGGTTGGCCAGTTTTCATAATTAAGAAGACTAAAGAGTGCAGCATGAAGAGACTTCCCCCAACTTTCCAGGTGAATTATAACTGCTATTCTCCTCAGCCTTAAACTGGAACTGGTGAAAGTTTTAGTCCAATACAGTCCAATACATGCAGAAGGAACCATGCACTAGACTAGACTAGAATATAAATCGACAGATTAATTATAAATCTTAAGAAATGTATCAGATACCTCTCTTGGGTGTCCTTTGAAACTAAATGAGAAAGAATTTGTTAGCATACTCTTGTGTAGATTCAACTCTGCAAAAAAGAAAAAGTCTCTTAATCTCTTAATTCAAAAAGCTTTGCTTTTAATTAGCCATACCAGAGGTCTTGGTCTGATATCTAAAATACTGAACTTGTATGGAATTTGTCATATATCCTCACAGATGTTTCTTAAAGATGAGATATTACAAAATCACAGAATCAAAAAGCATTGTGTCTACAAGTCCTGGCCCAGTGCCTATAACAGGGTCTTTTATACTGGAATATATAAAAGTTACACCACGGTCCTTCAGGCTTTCTACTAATCGGATGGACAGGATTCAGCTGAATTTAAATTTCATTTATTTCAATAAAGAGAGTGAAACATGCTTCAGCTATTATTCACATTAATTAGGATTTAAAATTTAATTGTTTGGATAGTTCCCAATGTGTACATGGCAGCTCTTGGTGTTTTCGGGAAAATGGGAATTCATTGCTACACCCTTTGTTGGACAAAATTCAACATGACAAAAACAGTTAGGGAATGAGGTAACCTAGAATATTTTTGAACATTACCAATATGTTATCTTTATTGATCTGAATTGAATGGAACAAGAGACTGGTGACCTTTTGTACTTGAACAACTGATGCCCAGTATCACAGTCACAGCCCAATTGCTCTCATTAGACAAGTGTAGCTTGTCCATTCTGTCCAATGAGAAGAGAGGCAAAAGTGTAGTGTTTGGAAATGTTTCCCTCTCATAGAAGAGAAAGGGAAATCCCTATCTGTGTATGGCTGTGGACACACAGTCTATATTTATGTATATAGGCAGTCCCCGGGTTACAAACATCCAACTTACGAACAACTCATATTTACAAATGGGGGTGAGACAACAGAAAGTGAGAGAAATATACCCTAAGGGGAATTCACTCCTAAAAGTTATCATGGGAAAAAGGTGTCTCAACTGAAGCTTTATCACCAACCCTTGTTTCCACAACAAGCCACATTTTTCAAAATTCAATTATCGCAGGGACAGAAAGTGCAGTGAAATCTTCTAAACAGGGGGACAGACCGCAAAACAAAAAACCCAGGGGTGACAACCCTTCCCTTTCGTATCCAAAGCTAAAAATCTATATATTTTTGGCTGGTGTTACACTTAAAACATGTACCTGTTCTGACTTATAAACAAATTTAACTTAAGAACAAACCTACAGAACTTACCATGTTCATAAGTTGGGGACTGCCTGTACCTGCTTCTTTCTCCAGCCATTTAGCTGAGAAGGGTTATTTCCAGATATACACAAATTATCCTTAACAGTGTCAATCTCTCCCCCTTTGTATTGGCTTAAATTTATTAATCATTCATAATGAATAGGAAAAGTTTTTTGAATTAAAATGTGTTCCAAAACTTAAAAAACAATGATCAGTTTTTATCAAATGTCAGGGTTACAATTTTTACTGTTTTAATAAATAAGACAATTAGCAATTACCACTATTCATTTTCATTACTGTGTAATCAGTGGATATGAAAGTGGAATAACATAAACTAGTCTGTCTCCCCTCCCCCCATCCCATATCATAGAATCATAAAGTTGGAAGAGACCTTGTGGGCTATCCAGTCCAACCCCCCTGCCAAGAAGCAGGAAAATTGCATTCAAAGCACCCCCAACAGATGACCATATTTTGCTTCTTGTTCTTTAGAATATTGTGAGAAATAACTCTTATAAAATGTCATCAGTAATAGCTAAATGGGAGCGACATATTCAGGCATATTATGCTGCTAGTGATCTGAAGCTGTAGACAAACAAGAAAAGAAGGCAATCACTGCTATGCCCTGCTTATGTGTTTTTTTTTCAGACATCTGTTGGATGCTGGAATGGAGGACCAGTTCTTAGTTCAATTTAGAAAGGTGATGTCTACCGCAAATGACATCATAATGCAGGTGTTATAATAGGAGCAAACAGCCGATGCCTCCCAGCATTCCACATTCATTGTTATTTTTGTTTTCAACATTAAATGGCTTATTACACCTTCTTTGGGAATAAGGGGGGATTTCACCATGTTTTGCATTAGGGGGGAGGTTCAGAACTTGAAATAACCTTGGCTTAAATCTAGTTAGCTGTGTGTACCACCCCAACTTCTGGAATTGCTCATTTCTGTGCTAGAACAAGGGATGTATACTTTGGTAGTGGACTGCTCTGCAAGGAAGCCAATGGAATGATGAATTAATTATCCCGTTGGCTAAATCCAAGAATGCTTAGATAGATGTTCATTTGTTTGCTTGTCTTATTAGGATGATAGAGCTCCAGTGCACATGAACTTTCTTTAGTTGTGGCTGCTGCATAGTAAGATGCCCTTCTTGCCACTTTTGTTAGCCTCCATGTTGTCTCTGTAACATATTTGATATCAATTCATCTGATATATTAATATGGGTCAGTTTATTTCAGTCTTGGGATGTTACAGTAATAAATGTATCCTAGTGTCATTAGCTAAGCAACATAATGAGCCAGTTGAATTTACTAAGCAAGAGAATCACCTTCACAAAAGAAAATGTGGAGGTCTTTGGAATTTTTTATAACTACTGTTAAAAGTAGCTCACCATTTAAAAAGAAAATAAAGATTCCATTGGGAATGAAGAAATAATTCCAGTGTATCACTTCTCCGATTATCTGTTTGTTAAAACAGAAATGGGAGGTTCTCCCCCACCCCAGTACTTACGCATAGTTACACTGATGGGAAAGAGAATCATACAGAAATACACATTTCTTAAAATTTCTTATAACTTGTACCAATAAAGCTGGGTGTATGTTTGAAGCTACAGAATGTTGAGAAAGAGTCACTTTTTGATAAGTCTTCTCTTTATAAATTATATCATGCAAGTAAAAATTATCCCTTATTCGTTTCATAGTAGCATGACATACACAAATTAAAGTGGAATTCTGTGCATTGTGTCAGAGCAGATGCAATCTGACCATTTTTATAGATTATCAACAAAATTTCTCCCATCCCCCTTCACTGAAAAAAGTCCAGACTAAAATAAACTTACAATCAAATCCCATTGGCCTTAATGTAGTTTTAGCCATGACATAGGGGATGTCTATGTTACACAACAGTAGCAGTTTTTACCCTCTTCACTACTACAATCCTGAGATTTGTACTTTGGTGCAATGGTAAGAAGTCTTTTTTGAGAGCTCCATTGCTGTACTTCGAGAGAAAGGGCTCAGCACTCACTAGTAAAGACAATTCCAGATTCCTCAACACTCTACAAATCACTTAATTCCATAGGATGGAGCAATGACAGCTAATGTGGCATCAAACTACTGTAATTATGCAGTATTGGCTTATCAATGGAAACTTGATAAGCTAAAGTATATGTAAGTTCCAACAATAATGATGACATTGGATATACATCCTTGGTAATTCAGTGAGATTGGATAAACACCGCTAATGAGAGAATTACAGCAACAGTTAACAGCCTTCAGTAGAAATCAGAATGTAACAAGCAGGCTTATATGTGGAAAGATGAACACACATAGCCAAGGTTCCAACACTCATGGAAACAAACAGCACAGTGTTAAGGGAGACCATAAAGTACATCCGTTCACACTCAGGTCTGATTAGTAATACTTATTCTGTCTTCACATTCACAACAGAGAGATAATAAATTCCATGCCTATCCTTTCCTTTTATCTGTTGGAGCTTCTGATAGAAATGTCCTGCATCTATACATTGCTTCTCAGACAGCCTCCCTCTTCAGTCATGCTACTGGTGGGCAAAATGAAAACATTTCCCCTAACCCGACTCCAGCATAGCCTCAGCATTACACTCATTTTGCCCATCACCCCCTCTAAACGATTTCTTTACGAAGATAAAACGATGTAAGCAGATCATTGGGCTGTCAGTCAACGCAAGGAAAGGAGAGGCAGATTTACTTCTACTCTGTCTCGCTGTGTCTACTTGGATCTGTTCAGGAGAATGCTAAGTGATAGTTAGTGCTAGAGATGCCATATTCATCTTAATATTTCTCAGAATTGTTAGCGATTAAACTGGGAGAAGCTGTGGCCGATGATTCTTGCTTGGTTCTATATTGCAGCAATACACCATTTGGTGCAAATGAGTTTTTGTGCAAGGGTGTCACTGATAACTGGTACATTCTTTGTTTGTTAATAAGAACCAAGATAACTTTCTAGTTTTGTGGGAAATGGGTATGTCTAAGCAAAAGTATTATAGCACAATCCTCTCCGTATCTGCGCAGATACAGTGTTCAGTGGGGCTTACTCCCATGCACGTAGGTATAAAGTTGCAACCTCAGCATCCCATTTTTTCAAATCATTTGTTCTATTTTTATTTTCAAAAGAAGAAATCACCTCAGTTCTGTTTTCTAGGTTCTTTTAAGAAGAAGCAGCAATCCATATCCTTCTGCCCCCATTAATATATATCTACGTGGCCCCACATATGTGCATACAGCAAATTGTGCTCAGAATCAAAACTGAATTAAACACTTTCATTTTTTAAAAAAAGTTGGAAATAGCTTTTCTTTAGCCTAAAATAATTTTACCTTATTAGAAAACCAGCTTGTATTACTGTATTATGCCTTTGCCTGTGTTTTATAGATGAAGATGTATAAACTTAAAACTGCTATATTTTCACAGTTTCATTAAAAAAGAAAGCCTGTAATCGTGCAATGTGTACTCAACCAGTCATGCCCATTGGTGCTTTTAAATAGGCTGACAATTCAGTGCTTAGGGAAATTACTTGTGTTTTGACTACGGCTCCCTGAATCCTCCAACCAGCATGGATAATGGGAATTGTAGCCCAAAACAGTCCCTTTCCCAAGCTCTGGCTGACATCCAGCTGATTCAAGTACCAACACACTTTTTAGTATGAAGCTCAATTATACAAATACTATCTCTTTACAGGAAAAGGAAAAGCAAATAAAAGAAAATAAAATAAAATTGAAGGTATTTTACTGTACTTGTAACAGTTTCAATATTCTGTAATATATTATGTGATAGTGAAAAAATATTTTCAAGCTCACGGTTTTTCACAGGATGTAAATAATTGAAACGGATGTTTTTGAAATGGATGCTTTAGTTGTCACCACCAAAAAGAAATGTTCTCAAGAAAATGTATTGTAAAACCTTCATGACTCCATTGATTATTCTTTTTTTAAAAAAAATGGGAAAGAATGTTCTAGTTTGTCAAAGCATGTTGTCAATATATCATTTACCCTAGCCACTTGCATTTGTATTTGCTAAGATTGTGTCAATGGTTAGCGGAGTGACATCTACTTGTTTGGTAAATCGCTTTGTAACTGAAGCCAGCCAGGAATTCAATATTGGCATGAGGGAATAGGTAGTAAACTTTGACTGTTCAAAGAAAATAAGTCAGATATCCTCTGTGCAAGATCATAAGTGCATTTAGTCATGTGGACCCTGGCCTTCTTCTGCAGAACATTTCAATGATTTTATCTAAGGATAACCTTGAATAAGGTCATCCTTAGATTTAAAAAAAGGTTATCTAGATAACATAAGATTATCTAGAAATAATCTTATGGCATGTTTTTTTTTTAAAAAAAACATTGTTATTGTGCTGTTATAGTTTTACAGACCAGAGTCCACTTTACTAGTTGTATATCATTTATACTGGAGGTGCATCCATTGTAAACAGTGAGGACATAGGGAATAGAATACAAAATGTATGCATATAGTGATTAATACAATAATGCTTAGCTCTGCTCAACATCATTTCAGTGATCATTGTTGATGACAATGGGAAAGCCCGTTATCCCAATCCAAGCGATAGGTGACAGAACACAACCTCCTAATAAAGAATAATTCAGTCATTTTCATTCAAGAGACTACCACTGATGTTCCTGGGTCAAAAGATGGTAACTTTGAACTTGGCAGCAAAATGCGCCGAGAGCTTGAAACATTCTCCGAGTCATTTGTCTAGGTATGTGTGTGCATCCATTTATTCTGTTGTTCAGAAACTGGTCTCCTCAATTAATTTATCAATGTCACAAATTATTGGCCAAGATCCAGGGGACATAATGTCTCTCATAGATATGTCTCTGTGGCTACAATTCCCAATACTATCCCTTAAAACTCCACTTGGGAGCCATGCCCCATCAATAACAATTTCTGAGGATCACAGAGCAGAAAGGGACAGAATTTCAATGTATACAATTACCAAAAAAAAGTTCATTACCTTCATAAAGTAAAGGTACGATACTGTAAATTAGGCAATATCTACACTGCCACATAAATCAGTTTGAAACTGCAGTATATGTTCAGTGATGTAATTCAATGTAGATCCAGCTTTAGTAAGAGGATGGCAGTCATTATTTTGAATTGGTGGCAATGTTCACTGGAATGGTTCTGTACTCATTTAGGCGTCACTGCACATTTTGCATTTCTTATTCCTATGACTTCACTGCTCACTATTCCAACATATAGATGCATGTATATATCAGTGCAGGATAACATGCCATGCAATTGGTGATCTAGATTTCAGTCAAGAAAAAATGATGCTATAGAAGAGGCAACAAGGACAAGAAATGCCAGGACATGCTAGTAGAAGGAACATAGTTTTCTTCACGTCTTCCTGATCCCAGTAAACTGGACCGAATGACATCAGTTAATTTACCAGATAGGAAAATCGAGTATCATAAAATGTTACTCGATACACCCCATACCACCATGAAATTGGTGGTATGGGTGTATTCAGTTCATTGACTCCTGTCCAGATTTCAGTGCACATGGTGGCTTTCTCATGCTGGTCATATAAGAAAAAGAGAAGCTCTTTCTACTCTTTTTGTACCATAAAAGAACTGCACTTTTTTCCAGCATTGAAAAATAGTCATGTATGAAGCAGTTTCAGGATCCAGGTAGAGTAGTGGTTCCCAACCATTGTTCCTCCAGTTGTTTTGGATTTCAACTCCCAGAAATCCCAGCCAGTTAACCAGCTGTTAAGAATTGTAGGAATTGAAGTTCAGAACACCTGGAGGACCAAAGATTGGGAATCATTGAATCGAAGAAAGATGTGTTGACACACTATAGCACACTGTTTTTAACCATCTAATTGAGTAAGATAGGAAAACCATTATAAGGAAAGATTGTTTCTGGTACTAAATATGGTAGCTGTTGACTTTCCATTAAATTGATATTCTTTTGCATTTCCTCCTGTAACTGCACAATTGAAAAGGGTCACGCTGACCTGGATCCAACAGAATTTACACATATCAATCGAACTGTCTAGCAAAAGGATTGTTAGGCTGGTTCACACTTACTTAGGATCCTTTTAATAACCTCGTTCCCTCCCTCTGACATGCAAATAAAGACAATGTGTGATGCAATTGTTCTTCACATAAACCAGGATGTCATTATTCTTCCTCAAGAAAAGGGGAATTAATGAGTCAGAAAGTTATGAATCATTCCCAACATGCCTCCTGCCTTGGAGGGGTGCGGAGAATCAATATCCTGTGAAAGAGAAGTTGGGCACCAGCTCCTTCACTTTGTAAATGAGATCCTCAGTAAGTGAGTACACTGAACCAGTCTGAAGGGATATTTTGGGGATGTCCACTCCATTTTGCAAGATTAGCAACAATTTGAGTGCCTGTCTATGAACATTAGAACAGATGAGGATGTGCTCTATACTCTTTACATAGCAATAAACTCCAGTTGCATTGTCATAAGGCTGTTTTCAATTTGGGAAGGAAGGGGGTGAGATGGCACTGGATCCCTGTAGATACAACATGGCAAATCACAAAGTGCCATTTGTCTACTCTCTGTCTTTCCCTCGATTTCTTTTTTTCCAACCTGATGTGCTTTCTGTGAGTAGGATTTCTATATACCTAAGAGAGAGAAAACAAATTTACAGGAGGGAAGGTGCTTTTTTATACTATACAGTTAGAATGTTATGGTTCCACTTTAACTGCTGTGGAAACATCCTGGAGAACCTGGATATTTTTTAATGAAGGGAGAGATATTTCGAATTCTCTCTTACAATGTTCTAGTTCCCCACGCTACTATAAATCCTTGGATTCCATAGGATGTTCCATGACAGTTAAAGGGTAATCATAATGCCAAAATTCTGTAGTGTGAAAGAGCCCTTGGAAAGTAGCACCAGGCCCTTCTAATTGTAGATCCATTACAAGCACCCTCTCCCTCTATGAGTAGATACTGTTTAACATGTTTCTTTCAAAACAGACAAAATTATAACTAGCATGAGAACAATTGGTGCCATTAAAATGCATTCCATTAATGAATATTACCGCTAAAATGAAGTCTCTCTCCCTCTCCCCCCCCCCCTCTATATATATATGACCATTCTACCCTCACATTCAGTCACATATTTTCCAACACATTTGGATTAGGTCATCAACTTCTTATTTCTCGGGAAGATGAAAGAAGATTCATGCTACTCTGGATGGACCACTCATGTTGACATATGTGGTCATTCCATTGGTCTTTTGCTTCCAAATTTATGTAATACTATATTATGCCAAGTCTAACATAACTCCTGATTTGAGCAGATGTTATTCCCAAATTGCAATGAACAAGGCTGCACCCTTTTAAACCAACTGAGCAATACCATTTTTCTACAATTTAAGAAATAAGTATCAAAGTGACAAAATTGACAGGACTGTTCACTTTTTACAAAACTATTTTTCCTTTGTCTTAGAACATGCAAGCAGGCAATATTGAATATTTTGAAAACTTTGAGAGATATTTAAATAATTGTTACCAACTCTTATTTATACTGAAAGTTTAACTTTTTAAAAAATGTGATGAATACAGGCTTTAAAAAAATGTTCATATCTTAAAACTATTTGATTCGTATTGTATAATTTTGCTGGCATATTGACTGTGCAAAATATTTCATTGTCACCCCATAATTCATTTCAGCCTCTGGCTTGTTTGCACAAACAAGGTTTAATCAGAAATGGAAATTAGATGAACACAGAGTTTACTCTCAGGTCAACAGGCAGTTGCCAGCCCCTATTAAATTAATTGCTGGGTCGCATTGTTTCAATTGCCCCACACTAATTTGGACCAGCAATAAAATATTTGTATCTCTAAAATACCATTGCCATTTTCTTAGAGGAAGAACAGGGAACATGTGGCCTCCCTGGTGTCATCGGGCTGAGACGGCCAGTGTTGAAGGGCCATGCAATCTTCAATCTGCGTAATCTTTGGTATGGACGTAAATCATTCATCAGTGGAGGTCCACTTGGATCTGTTTTCCTGGGGAAGTTTTCTTACATAACCCTCATTGAAGTAATGGGGAATAAGAAGGGAAACTTGGTAATGATTTTGGTGTGAACATCCTGAAAGTGTAAATGAAACATCTTTGTGTTCCTGGCTGGAAAACTCAAATTCACAAGCCCTTAACTCAGTCCCATCTTGGGAAACTTAATGGACTGCAATACAACTATTCACATCAATGTTCAACAAGCCCACAAAGCAACTTGTGAATCCATCCAATGGAATACAACCCACCAGATCCCTTGGAAGTTCCATAATATTCCTGATTTTCCTGCTGCTATGAGTTTTACAAAAATGTGTATGTAGGAGAATGTTGAGAAGAACATTCATGACATATCCTGTGAGCTGTAATAAGTTGGTGGACTCACAAGTCAGTGCAATGCTACTCATGCTCATTAAATGCAATTGAGTTGTTTTTCTGTTGCTCCTCTGCTTAAAAACAACAACAACAAAATCCATTTGTGGCTTCTTTGCTGTACTTGTTCTCTTGCTAGGAAGAGGAAGGGAAGAGGAAATGGTACCACATGTGGGAACACAAATTGAAAACTGGGGAAAGTCAAATACATTGAAAGAGGCAGTCAAAGGCTGGGAAATGTATGGTTATCAATTCTCATTAAGGCAGCAACAACAACAAAAGCCATCAATTGGTGGACCAGGGGAGGAGAACAGGTGAATGAATTTTTAAAAACCCACTAATCCTCATAAAATGAGGTAGTCATTTGTACCAACTACATAAAATAGGATGGAAGTTTCACATCAAACTTTTTTGTGCAGCATTTGATTATCTTTCTTTAGTATGAGATGCAGCATATATCATTCAGTATCCGTACGCCTCAAAAATGCCCCCAGAATTGAGTATGTCCATGCTAGCAAACAAAACCATAGCTTCTTCCATTGTAATTCATTATGTTTCAAAACAGTTTTAAGTACAAATGTATTTCCTTTTCCTTTTTTAAAAACAAGCATTTAATTTCCTAATAGTTTCCTCCCTGTGCATTTATATGCTACATAGTGATTAAGCAACACCTATGTTATAAGTTTATTAATGATTATGTACGTGTTGTTCTTGTATTTATGTATAGTGTATGTATTGTAAATATACTCAGAGCTTTTCCTCTTCTTTACTGTAAAACGGTGATTTTTTTCTCTTTATTTTGTTTGCCCAGCCATCATTGTAAAGGGAGTTCCCCCCACTCAAGAAACCCCATCAGAGGACAATTACTTCATGAATTAAGTGTTAACGTTTTTAATGGTGTCTCAGACATTATTCTGTTGGTGCATTGCTTTTATGTATTCAACTTTTCCTATGAATTGAGCTGTGAATTGAAATAGAGTTTAAATCTTTAAATGTATGCATTGGTATAAATATCTGAATGGAGGCATGAAGGATAAATAAAGCATTTTGTATGGAACAGTTCCTCCCCATCTATTATTCCTATGGACCGCTTGGTATTTTCAAAAGTTTTCAATTAACTGAGATTTTGTTTTTTTAACAAAACAGTCTTTCATTCTAAGAAACAGAATTTGAACAGTTCTGGATTTTCCTGAGGACAATATTAATCTTTTTTTTCTCACTGGTATGATGTAGCACGCACATGCAGTAATGGCAGCCTACACTGAGAACTGCATTTGTAGCCACACTATAAAAGATTCCACCATGTTCTCAGTATGTGCCTGGGAAATTTCATGGCAATCTTGTCACCATTTTAATTATTTTTCATCATGGTCCAGACGAATGTTACATCAACAATGTTATAGGAAATGTGAAATAGTGGCTTATAGCTGCCCAGCACTGCCACCAGGTAAGTTTAAAGCCTGGGATCTACAAAAGGTGCCTCATTTTTGGAACAGAGCTTAAAAGCAAAATAAGACACACAGCACTGTTACTCTACAGCAGAGCTTTCCAATCTCTTCATGTTGGTGGCACACTTTTTAGACATGAATCCTTTCGCAACATGGTAATTCAGTTCTACTAGTAAACCAGGTTAAATCAACCCCTTATAAGAGTTTTATACAATATCTATATCTACATAGCCATATATGTGTGTGTGTGTGTGTTTTATATTATCTTTACTTATTATTTTTATATTATTTTTCCTTAACATTTCTTATTCTTGTGCAGTTTCCTATATAGTTACTCCATGTGGTTCATCACCAATATCATTGCCAACACATTTTCTTTTCCTAAATAGAAACTTATCAATTTTAGTGGTAATTGCAACTCAATTAACAAATTGTACAGACTATAAAAGTTGTAGAAGAATCTACACTTGAATAGCACCAGCACGCCACTTCTGTAGTGATTAAACTTTTTGGGAGGTTTTTGAACTGAGGCTGAATGGCCATCTGTTGGGAGGACTATGACTTTGTCTTCCTGTCTGCATGAAGAAGGTTGGAATGGATGCCCTTCAATGGGCTCTTCTAATTCTGTGCCCTCATTCTCCTCCAATGCTTTTTTTATTCCTCTTCCCCCTTTTCCTCAAGAAGTGGCCAACCCACTTCCCCCAAACAGCTACCAGGAAGCTTTTGTTCATGAGTGCGGTGGGGAGGGGGGACATTTTTCACACAACACACAACAGGCAGCCCACTAGTGTGTTCCGACATATAGTTTTGAAATCTCTGCTGCACAATATGATACCCATATCTGAGGGGATATGTTTCCAGAAATACTGTGGTTAGCAAAAACCACAGATAATATCAAACCCTATTGAAAAAATGACTTTCAGCAGAAGTATACTATAAAGTTGTCCTTGAAATTCCTAGAGTCATAGGAATGCCTAGCGAGGACATTTTTCCAAATGTAGGTAAACCAATCCAATCCAATCCAATAAGCCTTTATTGGCATTTACATAGCAAAGAGGTATAAAATACAGCACAATTAATAGAAAAAGGAACTTCACATTTGCTACACATTCAGTTTACAGACTTCATTCAGGAATCTTGCCACTGAAAGGCAGCAACTAAAATCTTGACAATTTAAAAACATAATTACTTTGTCTGAGTGACTGTAGTTTTTCAAGAAATCTATAACATGTGGTAGTAAGCTAGATCCTAGATCCTGGTAAAGTGGGCAGTGCAGAAAAATATGCGGGATGGAATCCAGCTGTCCTGTGCTACAGGGACAAAGCCTCTTATTGCTTGGTAGACCATTGAGTCTTCCTCTATGGAGCGGAGATGGCATGATGTTAAATCTAGCCAGCATGTAGGCTCTTCTGTAAGAGGGGTTAGTGAGCTCTGCAGTATAAAAGGCTGGGTTTCCCTGTATGAATGGAATTGCCATGTTAATAGGTGAACAGGATTTATTGGCCAAGCTCAACAATTGGTTATAGTCCCTTTCTAGCAGCCTCCTTTTAATAAGGGTAAAGATCTTGGTGAAAGTTAGCAAGTTCAGGAAATTGCTATCATAGTCCAATTCCCCGATCTTTGCTAGAACTGTAGAGCACCATTTTGAGGGATGGAGTTCGCTCAAGGTGAGTTGGGTCAGAGAGTTGCTGGGCCTTTGGTAGTGGATAGATAACCAAAATTTAATAATGTTTAGCCAGATAGTGGCCTCTATAGAATATTGACCAGATTCTAGACATAGAACTGCATACGGGACACAGTTTGGTACTGGTATAGGATCTGCTATTTTGGATAATGATGAGGGATTAATTATTTTTGTGAAGTAACAAAAAGAATAGTAATGTTGCTAGACTATAAGAAATGTTTACATATTCTTTCTAAACTGTTTTGGAAATGTTTCATATACATTTCAGAATTGTTGATTTGGGGCATTTTTTTATATCTGAAGCATCTGTGTTAAATAATCAGAATGTTAAGTGTTACTCCCCAATTTGTGCAGCAACCTCACTACAGGGTTGGATACACATACATCTCTCAATTGATAAAATTTCACAAGATTTAGAAGAATTTATTGATATGTACAAATAAGACACAAAACAGATGTCTTTGTGGTGACTTCTTTCAGATTTGTAAAAGTGTCACTATGCTCTTCAGATGATTTTATTCTTTCCAGGTGACTTTTGGCAGCTAGTGCCATACCCACTGACCATTGGAGCCTTGAGCACCAGCCACTGCAACCACTGATGCAAAGAAGCTAAGCAGTAGAGCATTCCTTCATGGCTTACTCACTTCCCCTATATCCTTACATATTTGATTGCTATTTGCAGGTAGGCTTCATAGAAAGGAAGCAATGAACAACAAGCCTGCAATTTAAAATAATCTCATAAGGAAGAAAGTGGTGGTTTTCTTTACCTTACTCCCTTTCATGACTGTCTCCAGCCTAGGATTATATGTGTATCCTCATGGTGATATCATCAATGGACATGGAATTTTGCAGGGCATCAGATATCAAAGCCGGATCCTGTGCCTATGAGTTTTAATCTAGAATTTGAGAGGGGAAAAAGCATAAAGGGAAAGGGGGAAACAATGGCAGGATGAATCTTGGTTTTCTTTATAACTGTAAAATTCTTGGAGAGTTCAAGAATTGCTTTACCAAAATAGTCCACAATTCATTTATTTGAGATCTCAATGGCAACCTATGTTTTTGAAGTTTCTCCAGCTGTGTATCTCCAATATCAGTGATTCCATGGTACTATTGGAATCAAAGCATTGTGACTACTATTTAAACAATTCCAAGATCATATTTCAAACATCCATCACAAACAATGGCTTGTTATTGATGTGCTGTAATCAACAATGTAAAGTACAGTCAGTAAAAAGACTGCAGTCAGGTGGCATCAATGTTTTTTATTGTTTAACTAGGCTGACTGTTTTATCCAGAATAGCTGTTTCATAAAAGTCATCACTTGGTCAGTTTAAACAGATGAGCAAGCTATTTGTTTATTTATTTTTGTTTTACTCACTTCCTTTGCCATGTTCTACTCAGTGCATATTCATGGGATTGACCAGGCTGGAAAGTCTTCAAGTATCCCCATGGTGAAAGATGCCATGGCTGCCATTTGAGAACTGCTCAGGTAAGCGCAATGCAAAATGGGTAAGAAGAAACAACCAATGTTTTAATGGGATAAGCAGCAGAAAAGGGCTGTCTCTGCCAAACTGGGGGCCCTTCCATACAGCCCTATTTCCCAGAATATCAAGAAAATCCCACAATATCTACTTTGAACTGGGTTATCAGATAATGTGGGATTTTCTGGGTTACGTGGCTGTGTGGAAGGGCCCTGGGATAGTTGGAAGGTATGCTTAAACCATGTCCTGTGCTTTGAAATCATTTTTCTATGCCATTTATTAAATTGCTATGTGAGCTTTGATGTGTTATCATGAATCAGTTATTAGGAACCGAAATGTGAATTTGGAACACTCCAGGTTAATCGAGACAAACATTTCTGGAAGGGAATATATACATGTATTACATACAGGAGAGTGGATAAGCATGCAGATAAGGAGATCAAACAGGAATTACATCATTTGAAACATAGTGCTGCAGATGGGCATTTAAACTTGTCATCACTATGATCAGCCTCTATGGCACAGAGGGAAAATTGGGAACTGCTTTGTTGTTGTTTTTTGTCATGATAAAAATGTGTGTGGCTCAAATTGCTCTTTGCATAAATGTTGTTAAGATGGGTTCAAGAAAATCCCACCCAGACTAAATCTACCAAGTGGGAGGTTGTGGTCAAAATGTATGCCTGCTTTTAAGAGTGAGTTCAAAACATTGGGCATTGTTTTGCATTAAGATATCACAAGAAGAAAAGCCTATATGTCAGTGTGGGTTTCCCCTCTTGCTTTTGCATCTGTTCATTTTTATTTGGAGACCCCCACCCACCCACCAAAAAAAAACAGAACAATAAAAAACATGCCCAGCTTTGGAGTGAGAAACCTTTGGGATTCTATCAAAAACATTTGCAAAACTCAGCCATCTGTAGACTATAATGAAATTCTTACTAGCTGGGCTACTAATATATTTGAAAGTGATATAGTCCCGTAGTTCCCTTATATTGAGGATGCTTTATTGCTGCCCTGACAATAAGTTAATTGTTCCAATTCAGGCTGTTGTCTGGAGTTAATATTCCTCTTTTCCCAACTATACTGTAAACCCAAACGGCATGTCTTCCCACTTAGTCTGAGCAATCCAAAGAACACCCCCGCTACACACCCACTTGACATGTTGCCCTGCGTCTGGAAAGTTGTGTCTTCCATTTGATTAAACAATAGTGAAATTGTCTCTCTCTTTGCTTCCATTCTGATTTCATGTGTAATGCAAACAGCCTTAAAGAATCAGCACATAGGATAGAGGAAGCTGTGGGGAAAGTTGTTTGGTACCATTACTAAATTCAGTGGGGAAAGAATAGAGTTTAATCTCTCTATTTAAGAAGCATTTGGCAGATGTGAGTCTCTGGCTGAATCCAGCCCACCAAATCCAATCATATGGCCCACAAAGTTAGGAAAATTA